GTGCATGTGTGTTAATGGTGGTTTTGCATGTGAATTGATGGATTGTTTTTGATGGAATGGATGGTTCTTTGCATGGCTTTTGAAGTGATTGTGGGCTTTGGAATTGGAAGGAAGTGCATGGCCTTGGGGTTGGTTTAAGAGAGAATGGGCTAGGCCCTTTGTTTTATGTCCAAAATGAATACAAGGCCTTCAAATTCGTCCAACACTTTGGCTCCAATCATATGCTATCCATTCCAAGCCCAATTTTGCTCCAAAATGCTCCAAAATGCATCTTTTTGCTTCCTTAGCCATATGAACCTAAAAACACACGAAAATGGCTTAAACTACTAAAACAACTATGAATTAACAACATAGATGCACGAAAACAAGCTAAGTAAGTCGCCTAAATATGCTCCTATCATATGTACCCATTCTAAATATACCAATTTGTTTTATAAGAAATGTACTCTTTTTTAATATAAAATGTACTCATTTTTTTTTATATATAAAATTCATTCAATCTTTTTCTCTAATATATTTTTAAACTTATATGGGTACATTCTATTTTGTTGATTTGATAATGTATCTATGTCAAGTTTAATAGAAGAAATTTAATAATGTTATTAAGCCTAATATCTTCTTCTTCTTCTTCTTCTTCTTCTTCTTTTTTTTTTTTTTTTTTCTGGCAAAATGTACCCATTTTTTGGTACAATAATTGTTTGGTTAATTTTTTTATGAATGTATGCATTTATGTTTATATATGCACACACAATATATTGGAGAGTATAATTGATCTTAATATTTTTAATCTCATAAATTATGGGTTTTATTTTAAATCTCATTAATATAAATAACTACAAATTTCATTTTTAATTTAAAAATATAATAACCTACATAAAAATACATTATTATATTAATATCAGGAACTTCGATAAAAAACTAAAAATCACAAAAGTTTCAATCAAAGAACATTGGTAATTAGGAAATGCATCCAAAATGTCCCTAAATTTAATTAAAACTATAAAATCACTTAGGCACTAAACGAGCTGCGGGGAAAGCCCTAGCACCTAACGTATTTTAAAACCATGCCTAACATTGTTAATAAGAACAACATTTTTGCTTTTAACTTTTTTTAGCACCGCTTTTTCCACAAAGATTATAGTAGGTAACAACTCTTATTTTGGATTTAACTTTTTCGTCCACTCATTCGTTTTTCAACTTTTCAACTAGCATTAAGGATTTGTATGAGACTTTTTCCGTAAGGAGCAATTTTGCTTGTCAATACTTATTCATGTGTTTCATTACAAAGATACTAATCATTCTTCTGACAGGCTTGCTTGGAGATATTCGCCTAACTGCTTAACGAACTAACCAATCATCCTTCTGACAAGCTTGTCAACGTGGCACTTTTGACCAATACAACAGCGACACATGTCATTACAGATATTATCCCGATCCTTGTGGATTAGAACTTACTAGATAATAGCCCACGCATTGCTGCGCGACTTGAATGCAATAGCCTTAACTATATGAATAAGAAACATTTAACTTGAATAAATTAAACATAATCATGAATGAACAAAGAGATAGATGAGTGAAAGAGGTCGGTAAGAAAAGCAGCTTGGTTATACATTCAACAGAGCTAATATGAAAAGACACCGTACAATTAACATGACGAAGTTGAACGTTCTTGATTACAAAAGATGTGGTTGCAAAAAATCCTATGTTTCCATAAGAAACAGAAGCAACATGCAGTTCACACATATATGCTTTAAAAACACAAACTAAAATGATTTCTAACTAAATTGAACAATAAAGTAAAGGGGGATTGAGTTTTGGACGGAATTAAACTAAATGAACAAATTGCAATTAAAACATAATGTAAATATGAAATTAATGAAATGGAATGAATGGATGCTAGCCAAGGGGTTTATCTCCACACATGTTACACTTGCATAATAAAAAGATTTCTAATTGCATTTCAATAAACCATGAATTCTCAACGCCCCGGGTTAATTAGGTCCGCTTAAATTAACCGTCAAGTTTTCCTTAAGTTAATGAATTGGATGATTGCATACGACAATCCAAAGCATTCCTCACAAGTTCCCTACATGAATTGCATAATAGAGATACAAGCAAGAATCATTAAGCATCATGAAAACTATAAGTGTTGACGAGGCATTCGTTACTATGATTGCATGAAACTTATGCCAAGAATATGTTTAACACGATTGTTTATAAGCAACCTCCACTACTTGTGAATATAAGTTCATAACTATTACGTGAAACTCACTTATATTCTAGCGTCAAATTCATGCATGAAAATTAAGCGTTCATTCTTAATAAACATACATAAATAGGTTATCAATCAAACAGTTAAACAAATTGAATTCACAACTTATGAAACGTAATTAAAAGTAATCAAATCATATTACAAACATAAACATAGTTTCGAATCACCCCCTAGCTAAAGGGGGTTTAGTTCCTCATAACTTTGAAATCAAAGAAACACCTAAACATTCCAACAACTCAAAACTTTGAATTGTATGAACGTTTAAGCACTCTTTTCTTCCATTTCTCATACGTACAAAACAAAGAGAATTAAAATGAAACTTTGAAATCAAAGAAACACCTAAACATTCCAACAACTCAAAACTTGAATTGTATGAACGTTTAGGCACTCTTCTCTTCCTCGTTGTTGTAGCACAAGGTTTAAGGATAGGTTGGTTGGGGGGATGGAAGTGTTGGGGAATTATGGAAATGGATGAGGATTGGTGGAAATGGAAGATGATTTTTGGATTCTAAGGGAGAAAGGAATGTGTTTGTGGTGTGTTGTTGTGTTGTGAATGAGATGATTTGAATGAATGGGAATGCAAGGGTATTTATAGGAGGAGTGGAGGGAACATATGGATGTTTGTTTAAGCATTTGTGTGAAGGAATGATGAAGAATTGCATGTGGAATTAAAGAATGAGTGGTGGTGTAATGATGAAGTGAATGCATGTGGAATTAAAGAGGGAGAATGTGGTGAAATGATGAAGTAGGAAGGTGGAAATGCATGTGAGATGTTGGAAAGGAAATGGGAATATGAGTAGGCCATGGCATGAGAGTTGTTTTGTTGGTGTAAATGTGCCATGGTTGCAATGATGAAGAATAAAGGGTGCATGTGGGGTGGAATTTAATGAATGCAAAGTGAATGAATAATGAAATGAGTTAAAGAGGGAGAATGTGGTGAAATGATGAAGTAGGAAGGTGGAAATGCATGTGACTTGTTTGTGGAATAAAGAATGAATGGTGGAATGATGAAGAGTTGCATAAAGAATGCATGTAGGGTTAGCTAGGTTGGCTTTGTTTGGGTGCATGTGTGTTAATGGTGGTTTTGCATGTGAATTGATGGATTGTTTTTGATGGAATGGATGGTTCTTTGCATGGCTTTTGAAGTGATTGTGGGCTTTGGAATTGGAAGGAAGTGCATGGCCTTGGGGTTGGTTTAAGAGAGAATGGGCTAGGCCCTTTGTTTTATGTCCAAAATGAATACAAGGCCTTCAAATTCGTCCAACACTTTGGCTCCAATCATATGCTATCCATTCCAAGCCCAATTTTGCTCCAAAATGCTCCAAAATGCATCTTTTTGCTTCCTTAGCCATATGAACCTAAAAACACACGAAAATGGCTTAAACTACTAAAACAACTATGAATTAACAACATAGATGCACGAAAACAAGCTAAGTAAGTCGCCTAAATATGCTCCTATCATATGTACCCATTCTAAATATACCAATTTGTTTTATAAGAAATGTACTCTTTTTTAATATAAAATGTACTCATTTTTTTTTATATATAAAATTCATTCAATCTTTTTCTCTAATATATTTTTAAACTTATATGGGTACATTCTATTTTGTTGATTTGATAATGTATCTATGTCAAGTTTAATAGAAGAAATTTAATAATGTTATTAAGCCTAATATCTTCTTCTTCTTCTTCTTCTTCTTCTTTTTTTTTTTTTTTTCTGGCAAAATGTACCCATGTTTTGGTACAATAATTGTTTGGTTAATTTTTTTATGAATGTATGCATTTATGTTTATATATGCACACACAATATATTGGAGAGTATAATTGATCTTAATATTTTTAATCTCATAAATTATGGGTTTTATTTTAAATCTCATTAATATAAATAACTACAAATTTCATTTTTAATTTAAAAATATAATAACCTACATAAAAATACATTATTATATTAATATCAGGAACTTCGATAAAAAACTAAAAATCACAAAAGTTTCAATCAAAGAACATTGGTAATTAGGAAATGCATCCAAAATGTCCCTAAATTTAATTAAAACTATAAAATCACTTAGGCACTAAACGAGCTGCGGGGAAAGCCCTAGCACCTAACGTATTTTAAAACCATGCCTAACATTGTTAATAAGAACAACATTTTTGCTTTTAACTTTTTTTAGCACCGCTTTTTCCACAAAGATTATAGTAGGTAACAACTCTTATTTTGGATTTAACTTTTTCGTCCACTCATTCGTTTTTCAACTTTTCAACTAGCATTAAGGATTTGTATGAGACTTTTTCCGTAAGGAGCAATTTTGCTTGTCAATACTTATTCATGTGTTTCATTACAAAGATACTAATCATTCTTCTGACAGGCTTGCTTGGAGATATTCGCCTAACTGCTTAACGAACTAACCAATCATCCTTCTGACAAGCTTGTCAACGTGGCACTTTTGACCAATACAACAGCGACACATGTCATTACAGATATTATCCCGATCCTTGTGGATTAGAACTTACTAGATAATAGCCCACGCATTGCTGCGCGACTTGAATGCAATAGCCTTAACTATATGAATAAGAAACATTTAACTTGAATAAATTAAACATAATCATGAATGAACAAAGAGATAGATGAGTGAAAGAGGTCGGTAAGAAAAGCAGCTTGGTTATACATTCAACAGAGCTAATATGAAAAGACACCGTACAATTAACATGACGAAGTTGAACGTTCTTGATTACAAAAGATGTGGTTGCAAAAAATCCTATGTTTCCATAAGAAACAGAAGCAACATGCAGTTCACACATATATTGCCTCTGAAGTTAAGATTGCGAAATATATGTCCTACAGGCCAGCCGCCTGTTTTAGCAGTTAACAAAAAACATTAAAAGTATCTATTTTTGTTTCAGCAGCTAAGCTTTCAAGCACTAATGTTCAATGAAAAAAAAAAAACACAGGACACCTATTTCCATAAGAAACAAAAGCATGATGCAGTCCACACATATTTTGCCCTTGCAGCTAAGGTGGCAAAATATATGACCTGTAGGCCTGACACCTCTTTCAGCAGTTAACAAAAAAAAAAAAAAAATTGTTCCATTGTTGTTTCAGCAAATTTTCAAGGACACGGTAACTCGAAGAAAACAGAATGTTGGAAGATATAAAAACAGGGCTAATTTCAAGCATAAACCATCTCTGAAAAATTAATACCTCAAGTTTGTTTTCCCAATCTACACCATAAATATTACTTAAAATTAACCAGCCTTAGACAACAAACTGAGGAAGCTCCTTGAAAAAATCTACAGTGCTATAAAACACCCCAATAAGAATAATAAAATAAGATGCCAAGAATTCATGAGCAGCTAATTATAAGCTAAAGGAAAGACGGTCTTGGGCACTAAAGGAAGTGAAACTTTGCTTGTTATATATGGATATGCATGCTATAAGAAAGATTTATTCCCCCATGTAGTAGGTTGTTTTATGTAATCTTAAGCTAACCCAAGTAGACTAATTATAATTATGCAAAATATATATAAATCTGACTTTTTTTAAACTGGGATTCGAAAGAATCAATACCTTGGCATATAACTGTCTTCAACAAAGACTGCAAGATCATCTTTCTAGCTATGCAACAAATCCAAATTGAGCACCACTGCATAATCTTGGGCTTACATTATGGAAAACAGAAGCACCGCCAACGTTTAGAACAATCAACGTTACTTGCCAACATCATTAGAGAGTGAACAATTAGGACCATTTTTTTTGTCCAACCATTTTAGTTGGCCTAACTCTATGTAATTGCTTCTAATAACAGAATATTCTGATTGATATGGACAACATAGTTCCTCTAAAAAAAAGGCTAGAATCATTCATACCTGCCAAAACCTAGAGTAATCTGGTTCAAGATGTGAGAGACCATTTATTTCTGTATAACCATCAGAAGTCTCACTTATCTGCCTCCCAACCCCCTCTAGTTCTCCAACAGATGTATAAATGAAACAATGAAAATATATGGGAACTCAAAACCCAAGTGACCTTTCTTCTTGCATGAGAACTCAAATTCAAAACTCAAAATTAAGTCTCATAAAAAGTATAAAGTATAAAGCCATCTTATTTTTTCACCACATAAACAACAAATCACAAATGTTACTGTACACCCAGATAAAAAATTATTAAAATTCAGATAAAATTTGCATGAGTCGTCCAGAATCAGAATTATATTAACATTTTTCATCCCTGGTTTACATTCCTGATTACAACTATATTACACTTCTAAACTATCTTGGTTGTCACTTCAGAATTGCCGTCTTTTATTTTTCATGATATACACACTTCTTTGTTACAAATTGGAAAAATAAAAGTTGTTAATGTAAATGAATAACAGTTTTAGTGAAGAGAGTGATTTTACTAATAAATAATTGAGTAAAATTTTGTGGTACTCAAATGCATTTAATAAGATTCATTAAAATAAAAATTGCACGCTATCTTTTATTGTTGGTCAGCAACCTTCTACAAACTTTATTTCGGTGCCAGCACAAACAGTCACAACCTTCGTAAATAACAATTGACAAAAACCTGTCCGGATTCAAGATAAATCTTCAATGACAGTCATGATAAAATCTGCCATTCTTCTAGTAGCATTCTTGCAATAAATAAAAAAGAAAAAGACAACCATTGAGTTGCTTTACTTCCAAATTCAACTCATCCACCATACATAAAACAACTACAGGGAGGAAATAAAAAAATCCTAAATCATAAAATTTCCACTGCATGCACCACGTAGCTCCATATACAGTTACATACCACTCCTAAAATCAACTTATGCAGAACTATACACCATAAACATTCTCAAAGATACAATGTCCGGCTTGTATACTACTCAGACGACATGATCCATCGAAAATTAATCTGCAAGAAGAATAAAGAAAATTTACCCTAACAGCACCATTAAAAAAATGGGAATCCTGGAGATATTTTTGTTCAACCTGAATGGAAAATCAACAGAATTTCAAATTTCAAACAGTGAGCATTTTTCAAACCCAAAATTGAATCATCACAAAACGAATTCAGTGCAACCATTATGCTCAAGGGAAATTTATTGTAACAAAGTTCAAATGGATAGCAATCATGTCCGTGGATACCTATGACTTTTCTTATAACAACTTGACAGGTCCAATCCCAAATTCTGTCATTTTCCTAAAGATGTTCCAATTTCGCAAAATCTTAAATCCAACTACATTTCTCTTTGACCAAAAATTGCCACGTATGAGAACCAAAACAAAGCCTTGAAGGGGGGAAGAAGAAAGCAAAAACTGAGTAAAGGTACTGTTCAGCTTCTGCAATAATGATTTACCTAACAAAAGCTTCCATTTTGTTGGGGGTTTAGGCACTGGCAGCTGCAGAAAGCAATAGAATATGTCATTGGTGGGCAAATGTTATGTTTAAGAATACAATAGCAACTCCTAATTCGATTACAGAAAAAAACCAACCAGCATCAATAGCCTTTTTGCATACACTAACATTTTAGTCAACCAATTTACATGATAAGAACTGTAAATTGGCATCGCGACAAAAGGGGATCGACTAAAATCTCGATAATTACCTGAAAATACCATTCTACTTCTTTTCAATTGTGAAGCATTCTGCATGTATTCACTATCAAATACTTATACACATGATCAAACCTGTCAAAACAACATCGTTTGAGAACCATCGTAAAAAATACACCCAAAATTAAAATTAGTAATAAGAAACTAAAATAAAAGCTAGAAAAATAAAAATTGAAAATTGATAGGACTTACAAATGCCCATCTTTTCTTACTTCCAGAAAACTACTCAAGAAACACTGAGATAAAGAGTTCCAAAAATAAGAAATATAAGCATTTTTCCAACTTACTGAGTCTCTTACCGAAAAAATGAAATATTGATGTTGCATAATAGAAGAGAAAACAACAGTAGATTTCTTTTATGCACTGTATTTTTCCAACTTACCCCAATATAATAGCATTCCACAACATTATATTGTTATCCTGGGGCACCTCGCTAATCCCTGTAGGTGGGTCCTGTTGCAGCCTCTTCCTTGCAAGTCTCATCGTTGCTAATTTGCTACCACCCATATATTCATGAACCCAATTTAATAAACCGTATTTTAAGATTAACTATGCATTGAGCGAAAACCAATTTCAATTTTTTTTCCAATGCCTGCCAAAACATCAAAACCCACATTTCTACACCACATTGCACACAAAAGATATTGGGACAACTCATTTGCGCAACATAAACACATAATTACCAATACAAATACATTAAAGTACGACGTAGATAGCTTCAACCGAGCTACATATAGACAAATTCAAAGTTCAAGACTTGAAATCGGGCTCAAAAACTGGAAATTTCACTTCCATTAAGCAGCTTTTCAAAAACTGTAGTATTGAGTTTTCTCAGACAGTAGCAGATTTTCCATAGCTGATTTCAGTAACCCCAAATCAATTTAAAAATAAAATAAATAGATTTAAATTCCAAATTGGGCATGAAATTACTTGCCTTGAGTAGGGAGGGTTTTACAAAACGCCGCCTTTGGAGACCCTGCCTTTGAGCGGCTGCGGCGCCTGGTATGGCAGTGCGAGACAGAAAGAGAGTTTGAGAAGCAGCGATTAATTTTTTGGATGAGAGAAACGGAATGAAGCAGAAGACTCGAGAAGAGACATCTTCACGCTCTACAAACAAAATCCCTAAAATCACAAAAAGGAAATTTGACACAAAATCCATTTGTAAATCCAAAATCACAAAAATGAAATTCAAACAAAACAAAAAGGAAATTAAGAGAGAAAGGGAGAATAGAGAGAGAGATCGAAGTACCGTTAGTTAAAGAGTGGACGACGTCGGTTCTCGGAGCACAGTAATCCCTGAAGATCTCTTCCGCCGTTGGCGGACTCGAGCCCATCTCCCTGCTCCTCTCCTTCATCTCACCAAAGCTCTCGAGTTACAGAAATGGAGTTCAGTTTGTGTGGTTTGGTTTTAGGAAGCAGGAGTCGATGCTATTCCAGAGATGGTGTTATGGCTGCTAGGGTTTGAGTAGGGGAGAGAGAGGAAGAATGAGAGATGAGAGGAGAGCGCACGCTTGTAACCCAGCAATCCGTGCCAATCCATACGGACAAAATTACCCTCCCAACCCAGCCCCATTTGGCTGGTATTGTTGTAAATAGCATGAAATCGAGTGGCTCCGTGCCAAACCATACGGACAAATCACCCTCAAAACTTTTGAGAATTACCCTCCCAATCCAGCCTAATTTGGCTGGTATTTTTGCACATGGAATGAATTCGAGTGGCATTTTCTTGACTGTGGCCATGAATAGGCGAATTCCCCTCCAACTTTAGAATAGATAATTGCTACGTCTATTGCACTTCTTCCCGCCAAAATCATCTCCATTTGCAGATGCGACCAACTGATGATCATCTTCCTTGCTGCACCTTCTACAATATCAAGAAGAATTGAAAATCGAAAATCAAAGCATATATTAAAAATACAACCAAAATAAAAAATAAAAAATAAAAACTTTCAGTATTTTGTTCTTGGGAACTGTTATTAACACTCCAAAATTTCATTCTACACTCCTAATAAGTGTATTTTTTTTTAATTATAAAAAGTTTGGAGTGCTAATAACAATTTTTTTTTTCTTTTGAAATTTAAAATAAAATAAAGATCAAAGGGCCAAAACAATAATTTAATGTGTACGAGAGAGAGAAGAGAGGGAGGGTTATTGTATATTGGATCTTCTGAAATATTGGCAACGAGTTAATTTTGATGATAACAATAGCAATACTAGGAAGGGAACCATTTCATTAGTAGAGATATAAAGTTTGGCTCCTTCATTCCCCTAGCTAAGCTAGTAAGCTACCCATATATATATTTGTTGATTTGCCTCATGAATTTGTATGGAACTGCTAATTCCCTTTGAACTTTAATTTTAATCGTTTACCCCTTTGAACTTTTTTAATTAACTAATTTTTCCCTTGAACTTTAATTTTAACCGATTATTTCACAAATGCAACCGCATTATTTCACAATAATTCCTAATGAAAAGTTGTTTAGTTTCGTTGATCATAAAACTTGTAAAAACATAACTCAGACAAATTTTAATTAGTCATATGTCCCACTTAAAGTGCAGAGTCAAACAAATGCAGGCAGATATAGAAGCTCTCATGGCAGCCAACAAAAGACCAGAGAACCGTTTGAGACCAAAACTTTCGCTCCTCAGCAAGACTCTTCCAAACCTGGTAGCGGTTTGGCAGGCTTAATCCTTGTTACTCATGCTAAATTGGCGATATTGGGTTGCAGAAAGGAACACGGAAGAGTTCTCAATTCCGGAGGAGGATTCTCTTTCCTCCTAATCTCTCTCCCCTTTCCTCTCCTCCTATTTGAACAGTTACGGTTTAGCTACGTCAACATTTTATATTGATTTTTTTTATAGAGATAATAAGACAAAAAATAATATGTGAGAGGAGGAGAGGGAAGGAGATGAGAATAAAAAGGGAAAGAATACTAATGAGTTAGTTGGGGGTTTGGAAGATTCAAAGGATGACATTAACGGGCTTCTAAATTCTGGTCCAATCTGCAGAATTTTGTTTGGTTTTATTCCATGCTTAACTCCATACATGGACATGTCGACATTGGAGACCTCAGCCATTATAACAAAAAGAAATTTCCACAATTTCATTAACACGTGATTTTGACTGTTGCTGCTAAAAAATGAATAGCAGATTTTGTTGCTGTCTATCACAGATGGATATGTGTCTCAGTAATTAATTTTTTAATCACAGATTAAACACATGTTTATCTGTGATTGGCTAGCAGTATCACAACAAGTTGCAGCAGCAAATGAAGGGGGAGTGGCGGGCCCGCTGGTCAAAGGAAACATAATAGAAAGATTCAATGCGGGCGGGCTCATAGCAAACCCAGTTTCTATGGCTGAGATGCGCGGGCCGTTGTCATTCATTGGTTGTCACACCTCCTTGATTATGATCTACTAATGAGCACTTGGCTGCATCTTTTTTTTAATCCAACAACTCAATCCAATTTAATCTAACGGTAATAAAAAAAATCAAACGGCTCAAATTTAAATCTAACAGTCAAAATAAAATTACCAATTAATCCAAATTAGATCCAACACCAAAACTTTGTAAATACCCTTTCATTTTTCACCTATTCATAAAAAAACTCAAAAATATAAACAATTTTTTACATCAAAATGTTCGCAAAAAAAAAAAAAAAAAAAAAAAAAAGAAACAAAGATTATACAAAAACTAATTCCAAAATTGCTAGCAAAAAAAAAATTGAAAGAAATATAAAAATTAACATATTGTAAAGTTGAGCATGGAAAACTCATAAAATGACAAGGGATAAAACTCTTGACTTGCCCAATTCTAGATCAATAACTAGTACCCAAAAAAAATTTAAAAGCGTTTAGACATCGCATTATTTAAATCACGGCGTGCTGTGCATGACTTACACATTTTAAATGTATTTATATGCGTAAATCGATAAAAAGAAAGTCAAATATTTGAAGTAAATGAATAATCTTAGATCATGCTAGAAGAAACACCTCATAAACTAATTAAAGCAGTTGAATTCACATAATAAAATTGGTCACTATAGAATTTACATTAAGAATAGATAAAATAATATTTAATAAGCAATTGATTGAATCACATTATTGCTAGCCCATTGTGAGGCTAAGCTCATTCCCTCCTCCTTAGTGTAGTTAATATCGTTTGTTAAAAAAAAACAATAATTTGATAACTAATTTAATCACATTATTATCCGCGTCCAAAAAACCTTTTTTATAACCGGCATTACAAGCTAGGGTTGGGCAAACGGTTCATGGATCCGTGGGGCAGGCCGATTCCTTGCGGTTCGGGGTGGGTAAGGCGGGTCCAAAAATTAAAAATACAAAACAGGGCGGGCTGGGCCGGTTTCTTATAAATGTGTTATTCGCAATTTCAATTGGCCCCACACGAGCAAGGATTTTGTACGACCCATAAAAACGGGGTGCCAATTTGGGGCAGTAAGTCATCACGACCACGGAGGTAGTGTCCACAACAACCATGGCAGGCATACTGTGAAGGCAGAATATCTCACGGATGAAGATGTCAGCAACCTTAGCAGCTGAATACAGGTGCTTGATTGGTATGAAAGGGCCATACTTGGAGAGATGATCCACAATAACCAAGATGGCATAATGGCCATGGGCGGAAAGGAGGTTTTCTATAAAGTCCATTGTAATGTCTAGATTTGAGTTGGGATAGGGAGTGGCTGCAGCAAGCCTGAAGGTGTTTGTGCGCTAACAAGTATCACAGCCACCACAAAAGACTTAACCTCATTTTTCAAGCGGGGCCAATTGAAATTGCGAATAACACATTTATATGTTCGAGGGAACCCGGAGTAGGTAGAAAATAAAGGTTGAGTATGATTTTGCTCGATAACATTCCTTCTGTATATTCATCCTTATATAGAGATTACAAAAGAGAGTTTGATGTAGAACAAACTCTTGTATAATAAACAGATAATACAAGTGATAATTACAAGTGATAAATGGATTAATCCAAAATACAAAAATCAGATAAGTTCACAACTAGGACTCATCAGCATCTTTTAAATATTCTTGCGTTTGTTGCGACTTCTGTTGGCCAAAGGAAATATTTGAATTTCCTCTTGGCGGGCTGGATGGTTTATCACGGCCCCGCAAGTTGAGCGGTCGACGACGAATGGGAAACTTGGACAGAAGAAAATTGAAACGTGCAGTTGACAAACCTTTGGTAAGGAAATCGGCAAGTTGGTCTTGTGTGGCAACAAACCCCAAAATAAGTTCGCGATGAGTTACCTTTTCACGGATGTAGTGATAGTCCACCTCCACATGACGAGTGCGAGTATGGAAAACAGGATTAGATGCCAAAGAGATCGCTGAAATATTGTCACACCAAATTTGAGGAGGTGATAATGGAATACGAAGATCATTAAACAACTTGCGAAACCAGGAAATGGTGGCGGCAGTATAAGCAAGTTGCCGATACTTAGATTCAGTGCTCGAACGAGAAACCCCGCGTTGCTTCTTTGAACTCCATGAGATAAGATTGTTGCCCAAAAAAATACAGTAACCCCTAGTAGACTTACGGTCATCAGGATCACCAGCATAGTCAGCATCAGCATAAGCCACAAGATTCAAAGAACTTGGCTTGTACACTAAACCATGGTCAGGAGTAGTCTTCAGATATCGTAAGATACGTTTAACCGCGATCCAATGAGTAGTAGTAGGATGATGCATGTACTGACATACCTGATTGACGGCAAAGGCGATATCTAATCGGGTGAAGGTGAGATACTGAAGAGCACTAACCACACTACGAAATTCAGTTACATTGGAAAATGGTTCACCATCATACAAGCTGAGACGATGACCACTAATGGCAGGAGTGGAGACAGGTTTGCAATCCAACATGTTGGTACGTTTAAGTAAGTTCATGACATATTTAGCTTGAGACATATGCATACCATTCGCAGAAGACACATGAGCATACTTAGGATCGGTTTATGAATACCAAGTTTTGCTTGAGTAACCATTGGATGCATTGAATTACTCATATTGGAAGAGGAAGATGTCAGTGGTTGAGACAAGGGAATGGACTGAGGTATATTGACTAAAGGGTGAAGCAGTGACTGAAGGTGTGCAGGACTAGTGGGGTGGTAAGGAATGAGCTGGATGGCAGTCTGTAAAGAAGAGTTGACGTGTTGTAGAGGGCAACAGTGACAGGTTGAATAGGTGTGGGTAGTGAGGCGGTGAGTGGTGGGGTAGGTATAGGATTGGGATGGGTGTAGTCACGGGTTTAACTAGGGATGGGGGGGTGGGATGGTCCTATTTCATGGATAGGGGAAGGAAGCATAGTCTTTCCAGAAACATTAGGAGAACATAAGGATGCATATGGAAATGAGGATTCATAAAAAATTACATGTTTTGAAAGAAAAACACGCCCAGTTTAAGGATCAAGACAACGATAGCCTAATTGATTTAATGAGTAGCCTAGAAAAATGCATTTGCAAGATCAAAATTGAAGTTTATTATTATTGTAAGGACGAAGACACGGAAAACACGCACAACCAAAAACTTTCAAAAATTCACATGTGGGATCTCGTTGAAACAATTTATTATATGGGGAAACAAGGTTGAGAACTTTAGTTGGAAGACGATTTATTAAATAATTTGTTGTATGAAAAGCCTCAGCCCAATATGTGGGAGGCATTTTAGCATGAGCTAGTAACGTTAAACCAGTTTCAACCAAATGACGATGCTTACGTTCAGCCATACCATTTTGCTCAGGATGATGGAATGTCAATGTGAAGTGCACGACAAGGATTTTCAGGATGGGTCTTTGTGTTGTGTAGTGTGTTGTTGTGGTTTTGTTGTTGGTTAAAGCTTGTGAAAGCATGATTAAAGATGCATGTGAATGAATTATACAATGGGAAAGTATGTGATTGACAATTAGGGTGAAGTGGCTGCAATGATGAAGTGTGATGGTTGAAAATGGCAAGGGAAGGCACGGCACAAGG